ATTTTATCGGTCATAACTTTTGGAGAGAGAAATAGCAGATACTGGACCAGGATGAGAATTTAATTGCATGTGTTGACCAACTGTGTTTGTGCATAAGCGTTTGCATGTGTACTTTAGGCTTTGGATTTTGGAAATGTGTGCAATGGCAAACACCACTTTCGCAAGTTACACTAATAACATCAGTCTTGCTTTCTAAATGCATGAACAAACTGTAAAAAGTAGTCATACGTGCAATGAATGTAGTAATGCAAGTCAAAGTAGTCATCCATGCAATGAATTCTGAACAATGTTGCCAAAAGTGGTAAAAAAAACCAACTGATTTTTAACAATGCTTTTTGTCCGATGCATTTGGAAATCCCCCATGCTTGGATCCAGCTGCGCGTGAAGGAGGGCCGTGTGGGCCGATGAGGAGATCTGAACTCCGTCCAGCTGAGCACATGCCATTCACTGTGGAGCGAGATCTCCTCGAGGCGAGCCCATCGACACAGCAGAGCCGGGGATATCGGTCTGCAGGGAGTCGTGGGATCGGGGTTACCAGCGAACCCGTCAATATGTTCAGGCGTGCTGCAAAATCACCAACTCTTCCTCATCATAGGATTTCTGCTTCTCTTGATTAATTAAGGATATTCGTCTGTGATAAAATGTTTAAATTTCACTCCCTTGCATTGGTACCAATCTTTCATGTTTAAACAAATCAGAGCCTTTCTCTTAAAGCCCCCCTGTGGTCAATAATTTTATCCCTTAAAACTCATCTTTGATCACCAAAATGACAGTTTTTTCAGTGAAATAAAATTCTTCATGCCATAAAACATCTTGAATGTAACTCGACACCCTCGCCTCATTTAGTATGCGCGGTTCTATGAATATGCAAATGAGCCCCGCCTCCACTCACTCACTCGGCTCAGAGATCCACTGGTTGACGATCACACGTTGATCTGATTGGTTACAAGGTCGTTTGTGACGTCAGAAACACCAGCGATTTCCCAAACTCGCACCTCCAAAAGATTTAATAGAAAATGTTAAAAACGTCATTTGGGGAAGTTAATATTAGGAATTTCACTGGTTTAGCTTTTTGGAGAAGCTTCTTGCAACATTTTCATTAATGTAAAAAGTTATTAATTTATATGATAAATATATTCAGGACAAATAAACCATGCAAGTTGATGTTCTCTTGATTTGTGCAATAATTCTGATTAAGTGTAAAGAGAAATGTCTAATCGTGATTCTAATTTTTGAGCAAACTAATCGTGGTTATCAGTTTCCCTATTAATATCGTCCAGCCCAAACACGCTCTGGGTGTCTCTTGGTTTCCATGTTTGTGAGACTCTATGGGCTCTGTGTGTTTGGAGGGGCAGATTAACATTCCTGCGCTGACCCCTCTCCCCACTGCAAGGGTCAGCCCATTCACGGACACTGGGAACCGGGTCAACCAGGACAGAAGCAGATGCACAGCAACACACCAACACTGACGACCAGCCACGCACTTCATGTCCGAGGATTAGCATTATATTCCCATGCCAAAGTGCAAATGCTTACATACTGTCGTGATTCAACTCACATTCACAATTTACCCCTAGACTGAGTCGCTGCTTGATCTTTAAGGCTCACAGGCTCATCCGGTCACTGAAGTCAGCAGCGTTTACACTCGCTAGGAACGTTTTTCTCCATGGAAGTTTTGCGTTTGGTGAGCTAATAAAATAATAAAACTCAGTCGAATCAATATTTTGTGTACAGTTATTTAATTATGCCATCCAGTATCGTGGACTCGCTCTCTCTCGTTTCATTCAAACGCAGCGGCGGCCATTTTGTGTCTATTGTTTTGTACACTGTTGGATTATGAGATACAAACAGGTGCGATTTTAAAACAGTTTAATCTGAAATCAATATCTCTTATCCCCATAATTATGACTGTGTTGAAATGCTGTGTAATAAGTGTTATGACTGTATACCGTAACTCTTAAATGTCCGTCTAGCTGAAACTGCTCTCTCCGCGGAAGCTTTGCGTTTAAAGAGCTAATAAAATATTTCAACTCAGATCAATATTTCATGTCTAATGATTTACTTATGTGGCAAGTCTCCGTGTAATAAGCGGGATAATGTACATCCAGCCTCCGCTTCGCGTCCGGGTCCTCATTCTCCTGTCGGGGGGTATTTAGAGAGAACCACCGGCTGGATGTACATTATCCCTTACATGTGACGCGTTCGGTGATGTGAGCTGCGTTACACGCGGGGTTGAAATGGTGGCTACAAAGAAAACGTTAATTTTGGTCATGGCTTGTCAAAGTCAAGTCAAGTCAAATATACTTATATAGCGCTTTTCACAATACAGATTGTATCAAAGCTGCTTCACAGTATCAATCAAAACAACTAAACAGTGTTTGTTTATTACTGGAAAAAGACATCCAAGTTTGGTAGAGCTGATCAGTGGTATGATGGGTCATTTTATTTGACTATCCCTCTGAACCCGATCCGAATTTTTTTATGACGGACGAAAGATTCGGTGTAAACGTGATTGACAACGTGAGGTCGTCTTTATTTTTTATGGTGCAAAAATTTTGGACGAGATTTAGTTTTGCAAGGACCTTTAATTTAAAACATCACATTTATTAATTTTCCTGCCTATCACTAAAGGCTGGGTTGAAGATATAGAGGACACACTTTTAATCAAGCTTCATTTTAACAAACTAATATTGATGTTTAAATCACAAGATTGATCTTTTAGTCTATGCGGTTTCCTAAACATTAGTTTTAGAGCGTGTCTTAGCCAATAATAATTTTTTATTTACTTCTGATAAAAAGCAAAGTCTTGTGCAATTTTAAAAGTTTGTGTACAACTCGTTTTTATTTGAGTGTTTATTATTGTATCTAAATATAAATAGTAATTGTTTTTAATTGTTTAGGCTGTGTTGCTTTAATATTATAGTAATGTACCCAGTGAGAGGGTTTTCCTGTATAGTTTACATCATTTAGACATTGTTTTTTTTTTTCAAGAAAAACTGGCATGATATATTTAGAAATGATATATCATGTCTTGAAAAACGAAGACGATTTGACGGTGGTCGTAGGAGAATCACTGCAGGACTGAGCGTCAGATCTTCTGAGTTCGTCGGAGATAAAATTCGGTCATTAATCGGCTGTCGGTGAACATGTCAAACTAACGATCAAAGACTTCAGATTTTAGCCTAGAATCAGAAGAATCTTTTAGGATTTGCTAATTTTGTCTCAGACGGCCAAAATCGCACAGTGTGAACCGGCTATAGAAAGATACGAGTGCAGAGCCATAATGAAATAGAGTCCAAATTGAATTAATCAATGAATCCATCAAACTCCAGATCAAAATGTCCACAGACACTAAGTTAACCCCCATCTGTGCTCATTGTCTGGGTCTGAAGGGAGAGGATATGGTTGAGTGGAAGCCAGAAATGTGTGACCCACTTCATGCCAAATGAAATAAACCATCAACGTGACCTTTATAGATCAAATTTGCTTCATATGACCACCAACAGGATGAAAATATCGGCTGAATTGGAGCACACAAACAGATATTGAGTGATTTGCCCCTAGAGTACAGTAAAGTGGGTGAAGGACTACAGCAGCTGTACAGTAGAGACGAGGAGCACCAGCAGGGCCCGGAAATGCTTTGTTCAAAGTTCAATGTCAGCATTTGGCTTCAAGGGAAACCCAATATGCCAGTGCCCATGCATACATTACCAGTGTGTGTGTGTGTGTGGATGCTGAACGTTGCTGGAATAGCGACTGCTCACTGAGGCATGCTCAGTAACGCTTCGGAGGGTTTATAGGTGGATTAGTGCTCTTTGCTTTTCACTCGCTCTTGTTTTCTCTCCATGTACTTCGCTCCGTCTCTTATTTCAATCGACTGCTCATTTGCCACCACTGATCCTCAGTCGCTCTGCACTTCCTTAATTGGATAGGATGGGATTTCACCTCAATATTTAACAGCCTGTCGTGATGCTGGCTGTGATACTGATTAAGTTACAGCACAAATCACTATAATGTAGTGACTAAATTAGAGATTCTTATGTTTTAAACATGCATCCCATGTTTGAATATACAAGTGAGCGAGATATTTGATAGCTACAAATCTGTTGTATGTAAAAGAGCAGCTCGGATATTCTGCATTATATTTTGCATTCAATAGAAGAAAGAAAATCATACGGGTTTGGAATAACAAGAGAGAGAGTCTATATTAATATTGACAAACTAAATGTTTGTGAAATGTAGAGTGTACTGACACGTGATTTCAGGATTCAATTTACATTGACTGTAGATTCAATCTCTGAATCAAATCAAAATTTCTAAATATATCATTCCAGTTTTTCTTAAGAAAAAAACAATGTCTAAATGATGTAAACTATACAGGAAAACCCTCTCACTGGGTACATTACTATAATATTAAAGGGCAAAATTAGCAACACAGCCTAAACAATTAAAAATTTTGACTATTTATATGTAGATACAATAATAAACACTCAAATAAAAACGAGTTGTACACAAACTTTTAAAATTGCACAAGACTTTGCTTTTTATCAGAAGTAATTAAAAAATGATTATTGGCTAAGAGATGCTCTAAAACTAATGTTTAGGAATTGTATTCATGCATCAAATGAAAACCGCATAGACTAAAAGATCAATCTTGTGATTTAAACATCAATATTGGTTTGTTAAAATGAAGCTTGATTAAAAGTGTGTCCTCTATATCTTCAACCCAGCCTTTAGTGATAGGCAGGAAAATTAATAAATGTGATGTTTTAAACTAAAGGTCCTTGCAAAACTAAATCTTCGCACCATAAAAAATAAAGACGACCTCACGTTGTCAATCGCGTTTTCATAAAAAATTCGGATCGGGTTCGATTTTCTGCGTTTTCGCATCCGTAGCAAGTATTTTGAGAGGTGTTTTGAAAATTCAGAGCCACCGAATGACGAATTCGAAGGTTTCGGACTCCGTGTGCAAGGGCCTTAAGGCTGAATGCGTGACTCACTATTCCAGAACGAGCACCATCTCGCTGGCCATCTCGTAGACTTCGTGCAGACTGACGACGCGAGGACAAGCTCCCGCCAGCTCCAGGACGGCGATCTCGTGGATGATCTCGGTCCTGCAGTCTTGGCCCTTCCTCCTCTTCCTCATGTACTTCGCTGCAAACTCTTTACCGGTGCTTTTCTCCACACATTTCCTCACCACAGCAAACTTGCCTCTGAGAGCGAGAGAAAACAAGGGGAAGAATGTTTGTTAGCAGTTTGAATATCTCATGCTGTAGCCAGACTTTGGACCAGGGTTATTATCGGCAGGGCCTGAATTTCGTTTTGGAAAATATATGATGATTCTCATGAGGGGGATTTTTTTTGTTTGAGGGGGAGAAAGGGAAAATCATTTTTTCCAAACAAAATTATTACATTTATCTTGCCTAAATGTTTGCGCTCATTGCATTTTTACAATGGGGTTGTAAATTTACACAACACAAGGAAGCTTGATTTAAATTGTTTAATTAAATTGAAAAAAGTAGCACAAATAAATACAATAGAATAAAGATACAAATAAAGACAAATAAAGAGAAAAGTTTTTGAATAGGTCTAACACTAGTATTCATTTACAGAAACTGAATAAAGTCACTTTCAAATGGAAATCACAACAAAGTCACAATCAAATGGAAAATAACACTAGGTAGTATTTTAGTCCTGAATAAATTAAATACATAGGCTATTAATCCTGATTCCTTTAACTTAAAGCTGTCTTTTGTTGTTTTGACAACAAAATTAATGACACACACATATGGCTGCCGTCACTTTAAGAGCTAGTGCACGGATCCTGTGAAGTGTGTTCATTATACTGGCATGCGTTTTATGCTTATTAAAGACAAAAGCGACTATGTTTAGAGTATACGCACGAAGACCGCAATATAATCCGCGAAAAAGTCTGGTCCCGACTCCTAAACGCGAGTGTGTATTATCGCCGCAGCGCTTGATGCTTGCCTTGCGCAACACATTATGAGAGAAGAGATAGAAGACGCGGCACCGCTGAACACTCACGCTATTTGTGAAATTGCGTCTGGCAGATAGTTGTTAAAATAATGATTTGATTTTATTATCTGTGTGGATTACGATTGCGGGAATTTCCCGCATTATAAATGGGAGACCTGCGGGAATGATTAGAATTATGCGCAATACCCGCAATCCCGCACCGAACTTCGAGCCCTGATCGGTACTAAAACTATTAAAGGGGACCAAAGTCAAGTTTTTAAAGTCTCTACTAGAACAGGTTTTAATGTTTGAATGTTTAAAAAACACATTATTTTCTCCATATTTGTCATTGTTACAGCTCCTCTCTTCCCAGTTTGTCAGTAACGCTTTTCCCGAAAGCATCGTTAGCCAACTATGGTCGCAAGTTCTGTCGTTATCAGCAGTTCAACGAGTCGTGTTTCCCGAAACCATCGTCCCGACGAACATTCGCAAACAGCGTCGCAGAGGTGTGTGTGTGAGCGACAGATCTCGAGCTGTGGTTAGAAGCAGTTTCTAGTTTGCATGTGGACTCAATAAATCCTGATCTTGAGCAAAATAAGCCAGATGACATTCAGTGCAATCTGTGTCTTTTATTTAGAATACATACAAATGTCATTTACGCCTTTTAATTTGTCAAGAGATTTAAAGCGTCGTTTTTGAAGAGTGCGCATGTGTGAACGAGCTCTAGTGCGTGAGAGTCTATGATTGGCTCTGGAAATAAAGCAAAATAACTGAGAAAAATGAAAATTACTCTTCAGATGCCATGTCTAATCTATATCAAAACATCTCGCGTTAATTCGATCTCAAACAGATTCATTTAAAGTAGTTATTACTCCACCACCTGTGTGACATCATTAACCAATGTGGTTGAACGACCAATATGCGACAATATGATTTCGGGAAACAGTCGTGGCTAGACAGTTGATTTCTTTAACGATGAATCGTACTACGGTAGTGAAGCAGCGAGTGACGTCTCTGTACGGGAAACACACCCGTTTACTTCCTGTCTCTATGAAGCCCCTCCTCCTGAAAAGCACACTGTGCTCTGATTGGTCGGCTGGAGCAGTGTGCTGTGATTGGTCGAGCGCTTCGAGTGTGTTTGGGAAATGTCCCGCCCCTTCCCATAACCTCCAGTTTAACACACTACTAACTAACTCAACCAGGCCCCGCCCCTTTATTCTGCGTATGAATTATTATAACGAGGAATATTGTGACGTGAATATTGTGACGATTCACTGTGCGAATAAGATTTTTTGCCAATTAGCTGAACGCAAGATGCTTTTACACCACCAATCTGACATACTAGTAGAGATCACATTTCCGTGCATCGCATTAAACGGTCACATACACACACAAAACAACTTTGTTCAGGGCCTCTTTTCATTTGATGCAGTGAAAGGCCCGGAGCTGGAGGGTTTGCGGGCAGTGAAGGGGGGGTACATCTAAAGATGGCACACTTGTTATCACCGCGCCTTTGTCCCCCGGCATATTTGCAGGATGAAATCATCCCAAAGCCCGAACTGTCCCTCTGTGTCCCAGTTTAGCACTCAACTTGAAGATGCAGGGGCAGACGATGAGGAAGAGAAGGAAAAACAACACACACACACACACCGACAGACAAGGGAACATGTCGCCGAGAGGATTCTTGAGGAAAGTGTTGTATTGCGATCACACACCCCCCCGCTGAGCTAACTACCATGTTCCCTACAGCCCGGGGAGTGGAGACTCTTGTGTGTGTGTGTGTGTGTGTGTGTGTTGAGATTCGTGCCACACTGGCAGTCTGTTCTCACTGAAAATGTATTGCACTGTGTGTTATTTCTGTACAGGTTTCCAAAAATATTCATAGCGGCCCTTACAGCCCGACACCCATCCCTCATATGTGGACAAACAGGCCCTAAAACCCACGTTATTGGTCCAGTCAGAAGTGGACATGACAAACTATCCAAATATAACAGCCAAAAGCCAGACGGAAGAGTGATTTAATTGATGTTTGATCTAATTTCATTAGTCAGAGTTAGACATGAGTGATCATTTGCACTTTTTTTTTCTTTGAACAATCCAGCATTGTGCAGTGAGACCAGAATGTCAAATTTAATACTACTTATAATAATGATTATGATGATGATGATAATAATGTAGCCATTGATATTATTACTACTACTACTACAATAATAGCAAATATAATTTGACAAATATCGTTAATAATGATATTATGTTTTTTTGTTTTAGGATTGAAATGTGTTTTCGGTTCCCACTGTTGCTGTGTTTTACTTCCAATGTTTGCCTTGTTTCCTTTGTTCCTGGTTCGTTTCCATAGTGTTTCGAGGACTAGTCAAGTCATCTTCATTTATATAGCGCTTTTAACAATGGAGATTGTTTCAAAGCAGCTTTACAGAGATAAACATACAATATACGGTAACAGAGATTGTTTTTTGAATAATGTTATTTCCAGCTAAAGTTGGTTTTGATTGATTCACTTCCAGCAAAATTATCATTTGTTATTACATTAGGGGCCACTAAGACGACGGCGTTCTCTCTAGGAGTCGGCCGTACCAGGGACAGGAAGAATATCACTACCAGAGAAATGCCAAATAATAACACTTTTATTATCTTCAACATGGGTTTCGAGTCAGAGGCAGGCAAGACCAAAATACACACAGAACAATATCTTTTCAATCTCTACATTTTCTAAAACAAAAATAAAGAAAACAAAATAAACGTGCCTACCACCCTAACCCAAAAACAGCGTGAAAATATACAAAATAAAATGGCGTCAAACCCCCTACATCCCTTAATTTGGCAAAAACTATATTCCAGGGTATTTACACAAGTAGCGAATAATCACACACAATCTCTCTGGTACGACACTCTAGACTAGACCAAACGATAACGACACGAGCAATGGTAAAGAGGTACACAAGCACACACAACTGTCTTTACAATTTACAAGCAGAAGCACAGATACATACAATAAAATAAAAATATGAATGAAATCTAGATTGCTTTAAGGTTTTCGTGTAGGACTAACAGTATTCAGGCACAGGGAATACTAGCCTACTAGAACTTGAAAACAGTTCATGTTTCATTGTATTAATGAATTACAGATTAACTCTTCTCGCTATCTTTTGTTGTTTAATATTAACGACAGACATAAGCAGATATATTAGGCTGCTGTCACTTAGTTTTTTTTTCACTGGTCAATTTTGAGATTTCGGGATATTTGTCTTCAAAAACATGTCTTCTTTCAGACTTGTGGTGAAAAAAAGTCCGAAATACACATTTAGGTCTTTATTTTACTACACTTTGTCTGTGTCTGTAGATTTCTCATAAATTCATCAAAAGTTGGCGTTGTAAATCATCCGTTGCTCCGCGATCTGCACCCTGTCATCACACACACTGTTAGAAAGCTCTCTCCCTCTTGTACAATGTTGTCGGATCCAAATATGGTAATTTCCTTTTTATCAGCAACCAATCGTGAAAGTAAAAGGGCGCAAATGCGCAATCTCATTGGCTGATGCTAAATCTTTAAAGCCCGTTTTCTCAAAATGACTTTTCTCTCACACTCAAAGTCCGAAATCTCCACTTCGGTAGTACTTATATACACCAAACTTTCCAGTCTTGTACCTAGTTATATTATGAAGACATTTACAGAGGGATTTGTAAATATATTATTCCTAGCCCGATTTATATAACATTTTATTCCAAAAAACATGGCAAAAATCTTTTTTTTAAGGCTATTGACAGTATATTCTGATTTATAGGATAACAAAAGTAGATATCCATAAATCCCTCTGTAACTTTTTTCCCCATCTAATATGTGAACACAATGAAAAAAGACTTTTGAACCTGGCTTTATCCAATACTCAGATTTCATTTTTTGAAATATATGCAAATTAGCGCATATTTAATTAGATAATGCCTAATTTGCATATTTAAACATTAAATTACAGAAAACTTGTAATACATTTTTTTCTCATCTTAATGTAGGTAAAAAAAAAAATTACCCTATTCACCTGTAGTGTCTCGCCTTAAGAGCTAATGCATGGATTCAATATACTGATACACGGATTCAATATACTGATACACATGTGGTTTTTTCTCAACGGTTAACATTCACATCAAGACATCACAGACTGTGTTTATGCGAGTACTTGCCAAGGCGGGTATTTTGACAATTTTGTACATTTATGACCGCTTA